ATATACGTTCTCCGACTAGTCGAAATAATTCTCCAAGGCATGATAAGGGTGATATTAAAAACTTTTAGTTGCGTATCGATCCAAATTTAAATTTACCAACTCAGTATGCTTTGGACCATTGTTGGTAGCTGGTAAAAGGCAACTGGACCAATGTAAGGAGATGATTATTAATAACGCTGCCATAGTAATCAAATACTACAAATTGGGTGATGCTTTTGTGATGTATCTCAAAAAATTGACATCTAACCATTGTTGCATTTGTGATGCTCTTGTGTTGTATCTCAAAAAATTGATATCTAACCATTGTTGCATTTGTGATGCTCTTGTGATGTATCTCAAAAAATTGACATCTAACCATTGTTGCATTTGTGATGCTCTTGTGATGTATCTCAAAAAATTGATATCTATATATTGCACATTTTATTCTATTCTTGAATTAAAAAAAATAACTATGAAAGTACTAAAGAGTATAATTTTTGTTTTGATCATCCGTTTTTGTTTTTAAATTCAATAAATCATGCTGTTTGATACCTATTGTTGTAGTAGTAGAGTGTGTATATATATATATATATATATATATAATTTTTTGGTTGGATTATATTAGGAATTTTTTTATTTCTTTTTCATTATTTTTTTTGTTTTCCATTTTCCCCATTATCACTAGTATGCATGTTTTCCTACTATCTTAAGTATGCAATTTACAGAAATGTTCATCTTTATTTATATATTTATATAATAGAAGAAGTAAAAAATATCACATGCTATCATATATGTTATTTTGGACTCTTATTTTTATCATAATTATAATTCTAATACTTATCTTTATTGATTGACATCTATTTCATTATTTTAGAAAGTATATAATTATTTTTCAAAAATATGGTTATGTAAATGTAATATAAAGAAAACAAAAAATAATTTTTAACATATACAATTTAAAAAATTATAAGAGATTTGTACTCTTTATTTTTTAAATAACAGATTTAATTAAAGAAAAAAATTTGTCGTTTATCTACTAATATCTAATTTTAATTTAAAGATGATTATATAAATTAAAATAAAATTTATATATTTGGCTTAACAATAAAGACATCTCTATAAAATGAAAAATACAGAGACAAAATAAGATAAAATAAAATGTAAAATCAACTAAAACTAACTTAGTACGTCTCTCTTATCCACATGCCCAACTATCCTAAATACACAGAACGGTTTAAATTCTTTTAAAAATTTATTTTAAATTTTAATAAATCATATTTTTTACCTCCTTTTTTATCAAATTATAATTTCAACAAAAACGAAAATTTTATTTTAAAAAACAGTTACATAATTCAAACGTTTTATATATACTACACTGATAAAAAAAATCATTGATTGCAATTTGCAAATTGTTCTCTCAAAACAAATTATTTTAAGAAATAAAAGAATTCATGAGGAAAGAAGACGAAGAGAACATTATCTAAGAACCTCATATTTACAGTGCAATATATTTAATTTATTGCGTTGATTTTTAAAAATCATATTATGTAGATATTTTGGTTCATAAATTATTAATTTTATTTTTTATAGTGCTTGAATTTTGGATTTGGAGGTAACGATTGCAATGAAAATAAATTTTAAAAAAAATGTCATGACAAAAATAAATATTTAATATTTAACGAAAAACGAAGAAAAAGAAGAAGAAAACATTAATAATATAATATTTAACAATATATTGGTAAATTTTATTTTATATTTTTAAAAAAAAGTTAAAGATAGAAAGGGAAAAAATATAACCTAAATCATCCCTAAAATTCCTCACCCACTTACCTAACAATCCTATCTCAAAACTCAATTATATATTTTAATCTTTTACCAATATAATAAGAAAGACAAAAGTACTACGGATATCACAAAAAAAATAATCAATTTTTAATTTTTTTTAAAAACAATAACATTTGTATTTTTTTAAAAATTAATGTCATCAATAAAAATGTTTTCAAGTTATCATTTAAAAAAAAAAAAAATTTAAAATACTCTTTATGAGTATTCGTCAAATTATATATTTTAATATATATGCAAGTTTAGAATAAGAAATATTCCCTATTATATTTTTAGTTTTAGTACAAATGCAAACTTAGGATAAGAAACATTCTCTATTATATTTTTAAATTTCAATATATATATATATATAATATCAAAGCTTGTCTTATATAAATAAAAATTAAAGTTAACGATCAATTGTATATTCAAATAAAAGATATTTGAACTATTTCATAAACATATATGGTTAATCTTATTATACTAGAGATCACATTTGAAGATAGAATAAAAATAATATATTAATTATTTATATAAAAATAATTTAAAATTTTTTAAAAATAAATCCTAATATTATTTGCCACGGTTAACTTAAACGTATTACTAAAGAATAAAATTTACAACACATTTTAAAAAGGTCAAAAAAATCTAAAAATTCATAAAATAAAAGAAGAGACTTATAGTAAATCTAATGAATAGAAGATGATCCCTTTTTTTCATCTTTCAATTTTTTCTTTGCACTGAAAATAATTTATTTTTATGTGATATAATATTAATTTGACTATAGTAATTATTTTTTTTATATTTTTCACTAAAATTCATCTTTTTGTGCATCTTTAGTTTATGAAATTATATTTGATTGAATGGAAATCATCTTATTTTCAAGATTGAACTTGCTTTGCAAATTAAATTTAGAATTTAGCTACAAGTAGAATCAATATTTTGAATACTAGCTTTAAATTGATCTATGAATTTAAAATTCAATGAATTAAAACAAATAAAAATTCAATACACGCCACATATACTATTAATCTTCAACCCACCACTAAGGAATGAAGTGAAGTGCAATATTATACTAAAAGAAGGAAAAAATTTAGAATAATGTTTGGTGTCTTTGAAGAACATGACTTCATCACACATAGATTATGGCAAAATTTTGTTAGCATTAAGTGTATATATAAAATCAATATTATATATGATTATACATGCACTTTGTTACTCAATCATAATTTGCATTAATTATTTTTATATTTAAGTTATTATATTTTTTAAAAATTGCGCAACACGCGGGTACGTATACTAGTTATATTAGTGACGAAAATTGAAAAATAGATTAACATATTATTTTCCGGATGAAAATAGTATATATTATTTAATATATTTTTAAAAATATTATATAACATTTAAAAAGAATTAAGAATATTAAATATTTAATTAATGAGATTATATGTAAAATAATATGTTTGCAAAATAATAGAAATAATGAAAAAGTAAAATAGAGAGTGTGAATAGTAGTTCTCCAAAGAGTAATATAAAGATGATTGGAGAGGATATTCTCTATTTTACCCTCCAAATATAGAGAACGGAGGGTAAAATAGAGATGGGCTGGAGATGGTCTGACACAAATGTGGTAGCCAATTTCCACAAAGTTTGGCTGCCAAACTCTAACTAAACTCTACCAAACTTTGACTACCAACTTTCACAAATGTGACTGCCAACTTTCACATTTGTGGCTATTAGCTTTCACATTTGTGGCTAGTAATTTCAACAAGTGTGGTTGTCAAATTAGTTGTTGCTAAGCTTTTGTTCCCACAGTAACTTCACCAACACCCGAGTTTAGGAATTTTTCGCCTACAAAAGAAGTTGATGTAAGTAGGCTACATGATGAAAATGATCAAGATGTTCAGAGGCCTTCTCTACCAACCTTGTCTATGTTATTCATAGTTGCAAACAGTTCAGCCTCGACATAGATGAGAAAGGAGCAATTTGTACAACTGAATAATGATTTAATTCAAGTAATTGATGAGGTTTCGTCCAAGTCCAAGACATGGGCAGAACAGGCTTAAGATGAAGAATATCAAAATGATGGTAGCAAAAGAGAAAGATTACATGAGATTAGCGCACCAAATCTGGGCAATAATCTCAATCATAATGCACCTATTTTTGTGCTTAGAGTAGTGAAAAAATTACAACTCTAATGTACACTCCAATTGGTAGTAATCAACACCATAAAGGGTATGATATAATGACAGTCAATAGGTCTGGAAAACCATAGATGAATTCACTGAGGCAACAACTAGATAAAGGGTATTTGGGACAACAAGAAAGTGCGATTACAAAGAAGAATGAGTAGTGGCCTTAGCGTCAAGACTTATTCCAACTAATGCATATGCTTTGATAAAATAGCTAGGGATGGAGATATCTCACCTAGGCAACAAAGAAGTGGAAGCAAAAAAAGTTTTTTTTAAAAAAAAAAGACACATGGAAGGCAACATAGTTGGGATGGTAAAGTGACCGGGGAGTTTGGTCCAAGTCACCTACCAATGCGAATGGCAAAGCAGAATCATATGTAGTGTCAATAGTTTCATCAGAAACCAATAAATCCAACAATAAATGATGAACTATCAATTATTGTTGGATAGATTTGAAGAAGAAGACAAGAGGAAAATATTTCAGGTTACTTCAGACGGGTAATCTATCTTTTTAAATTTATATGTTTATAAAAGGAAGTTTGAGATTGAAAACTCAACTTTCTTCTTGGCTTTTATAATTTTGCATTATTTAAACATCCTCATTTGTAATATCATCATAGAGTATATTACAAACTCTGTGGTGATCGTAAGATATCTAGTCTTCTCTAGTTCTTATTTTCTTTATGTTTGTTAATTAGTAGAGGTTCGATACTTCATTAGGATTTGGTAAGGTAAGGTTTACCCCATGTACTTATATATATATATTTTTTTTCCGGCTCAAGCCAGTAAAAATATGGTGAAACTCCGTTATTTTTTGTAAAATGAAAAAGTTTAGCCCGAGTTATGGAGTTCCAACATCATCATAGACGAAATCAGGATTTGAAGTTTCTAAGTTCGAAATTCTAGTGCATTTGAATTAATGGAACTAATATCTTATTTCATTTAAACACATATATCATAATTCTAGGAAAAGCCAAAATAGAAAGTATCTCAATGAATAAATTGTACCTTTCTTTTTGTCCATAGATCATGCAGCAAACTCCCCCTGAGAGAGAGATGAACAAGCCTTTGAGGTTCAAAAATTTTTGGCAATGACTCCCAAGGATAGTTGTTCCAAAAAAACCACCGCAGGTTGTTGGGCAAGCACTCAATGGAGCCGCGGGTAATGTATTTTAAATCAATCGGAGAGTGGGATGAGGAGGAGCGGTTTAGCCTGCCATTGGCTATGTATAATATCCTAAGCCTTTTCATATTTTTCATTGCCTCTTTATTAAAGCATATTTGTTCAAAATAAGTAAACCAGATTGCTTCTGTCATGCTCCCCTGGTAAAAAGATTGTAAATCAACAAATCATAACTTCAGATATCGTGTACAATCAACTTATCGATATCATTATTTTTTTGTTACCGAAGAAATCAATATTACTTTCACTTGGTTTATTGGGCTATAAGAAATGACATTCATTTCGAACTGGTGATTGGTAAGGTAAGTTTTAACCCTCCTTATACTTTTTCTATTTGAGATGTTTATGAATAAAAGGATACTCAAGATAAATATATATATGGATGATATAAATGATTTTGTTAGTACGTACAAAACGTAATCCAAATAATAAAACTGGATTAAACATATTAAGCGGCTACTAGACTAATTCATGGCTTAATAACATAAGATAAACGAATTAGGCGGTGTTGATTAAAAATGACTACTTGACTAATTAGCCACGTTAGGCAATTAATTTATTTTTTCTTCTCCTATATATTAAAGTAAAATACTAAATTGGTGTTACCTGCAATAATATGAAACAAGATGAACAAATAATTGGAATTGACTGCCCTATAAGCCTTTGGAATATGAAAACTAGAAATTGAATATTGTTGCATTGTTTATCCTACTTACCATATTGTTGACCATCACTTCATTGAAATCTTCAGCATTCCATAGTCTGCTAGGTTCTCCCGAATCTTTTTGCAATTTCACCACATATCTACCCATATCTTGCATCAAGTCATGTATTTCAATCCTATCAATCTTGGAGATGAACACGAGAGATTTATCAATTAGGACATCCAATCCATACTCAACTTCAAAATCACAGCTCTCAAGGATTTGTATGACTTCTTTTTTTGTATATCCTCGAAAGAAACATGCCAGATCTAGAAATATCTTTTGCTCTTCGGGCTCCAGCCCATCATAACTTATTTTGAGCTTTTCAACTATATCTAAACTAGATGTTTTCTTTATTTTGATGACAGTTCTTTCCCACCGACTTAATCCTTTGTTATGCAACAAAGAACCCCACACCTTGAGGGCTAAAGGAAGGCCTTTAGCATGATTTACTACCTCCGAGGAGAGATTCATAAAAAGCTCATTTGGAGCTTCTTTTTTGAAAGCATGTTGATTGAACAATTGCATAGCTTCATGATCAGGTAGCGTAGACACATCATATATTGCATTATCATTCTTTATCAGATCTCTATTTCTAGTTGTTACAATAACTCTGCTTCCATTACCAAACCAACAAAGATCACCTGCTAAATACTCCAAATGATCACTATGATCTATGTCATCAAGCACAATTAACACCTTCTTAGAACAAAGTCTGCTCGGAATCATGACTTTCCCCACATGCTTACTCTTGACGTAATTATCTTCTTCTCCTAATAGTTCAGAAAGAAGGATATTTTGTAAAAAGCACAATCTATTCTTTTTGGCATTTTCTTTAACATCATCAAGAATACAAGCAGCTTCAAATTGACCAGATAGATTATATTTATGAAAGATTGTTGTTGCTATTGTCGTTTTACCTATTCCGCCCATTCCCCAGATCCCTACAATCCGAACATCATCCATTTCTTTCTCAAGTAGGTGCTCTACTTTCTCTATATGAGTATCTATTCCCACAGCTTGCGAAGAAAATAAAAAATATGCACTCTTGTATAATTTGGAGATGTGATCGACGATCTGCTGAATATTCTCAGATTCAATCCTACATAAATATAAAAAGATTGAATGTGGGAAATTTGAGAAAGTCAAGTATTAGGAAGTATTTCACATTGTTAATGTTCAGGAGAGTATTAAATAGGAAATATTGCAGTTCAGGTAATAGTTACAAAACATGAATAGTTAAGTTTAATTGATAGAACTATGCCTTCTTACTGATAAAAACATATATAATCTAAAATCACTCCCTTTTCCGGAAAAATATATAAAAACATTTCATATGTCTATATGATAATCAATGAAATTAGATTGTGTATGAAGTTTCATTCTTTTTTCACTAAAAGTAATTATGAGTTTTTAACTCACCCATCACGGATATCATATCCTTTTAAATTTGATGCCGCAGTTAGGGCAGTTCTCCACCCTTGCACCTTCTGCATCCCCTCACAATCATCCTTATACTTCAATTCGTGTTGGGAAAATGCTTCTGCAAAGCTCTCCCTTTGGTTTCGAACATGTGATGGATCCACATCATAGAAGATTGGTATGACTGTTTGTCCATTTTTGTCCTTGCATTCCATGATTTTCACTAGTTCATCTAAGCACCACCTCGATGTAGCATAATTCTTTGAGAATACAACAAGGGCAACTTTAGACTCTTTGATAGCTTTCATGAGTTCTTTTGGGACCGAATCGCCATACTCTAGCCTTTTATCATCTTGAAAAGTGAATATTCCCCTGTTATTCAAACCTTTAAACAAGTGGCCCGTAAATGTTTGACGGGTATCTTTACCTCTAAAACTTAGAAATACAATGTACTTCCATTGAGGGGAATACTGTGAAGTACTCACAGAAGAAGATGCCATGGATTCAATTAATTTGTTGAAAATTGAGAAGAAAGAAAAGAAGTGTGTGGATTGATAGTGGTTGTGAGGTGAAATAAGATAAGTCAACTGGTATATGTTGTAGCATTGAATAGAAGTAAGCAGTACCAACATGGATTGTGGTGCACTGGGGGATTGTTTTATCCTTAACCAGATGTCTTGAGTTCGAGCCCTTAATATAGAGAAAATATTGTTGGAAGTGTCACCCCCGAATAGGCCCTACAGTGTGCGATCCAACTTTAGTTGGAGATTCAATATGAGCTTCGAACACCCGGATGAAAACAAAAAAAAAAGAATAGAAGTAACCAGTAGGAAATTTCTGAAAAGAGATACCCAAGTTAACAATACTAATAAAATAGTCGAAATGATAACACCACTATCATAATTTTTTTTCTAAAAAAATTACAGAAATATTTTGCTAGAGAAATACTTGTTCAATATTCCTCCTTTCTTTCTTGTCAAAGGAAAAGACCCCACACGGAGGTTGAAAAGTCATCCTCCAACAAATGCGTAAATAAAAGTTAGCGGGCCTCATCCCCGGGCTTGCTTTATCATCATATCAGATATTATATTCATATTCATTCATCTATATTATCTTAAAAGCATGAACTCCTAACTTGAATGTTAAATCACTATAATATTCCTAACTTAGGTTGTGACTTTTTCGATGAGTTGTGATTTTTTCGATAAGTTGCGACTTTTTTCAGAGGATTGTGATTTTTGATGAGTTGTGACTTTTCTAAAGAGTTGTGACTTTTTCAATAAGTTGTGACTTTTCCAAAGAGTTGTGACTTTTTCAATAAGTTGTGACTTTTTCAAAGTATTGTGACTTCTCTTAAAGGTCATGATTTTTCAGACAAGACACAAAAAATATTTGTTCATACTATTATTTGTTGACTATAAATAGAGGGATTTCGTCTCATTTTTTCAATCACAATTTTTTCTAATCTTCTACACTTCTTCTTCTTGCATTTTAAATTTTTTGTGTGATTTATTGTCGTTGAGTGAGTTCGAAGTTTAACGGAATATGAGGTACCACTATTCTGATGAAATAAGTCGTTTTATCCTAAGAGGGTATATTCCATAACCTCGAGTACTTGAGGAAAATAATTTTGATGATATGATACTTATTTTTTCTTAATATATACATTAGTATGTAATGTTCAAATATATGAAGTTAACATGATGTAGTCTAAATTCATTTGTTTTTGTTAACAATTGATGTAGATATATGTTTCTCAATATCTTTTTCAAAATTTAGAGAATTGTCACGATTTGTTTTTGATGCTCAAGATTAAAGAATGACTTTATTTATCAATGCTACTTATGTCATTTAGACTCTTATGAAGTTTGCTTTAAAATAGTTATTACTATATAAACATTTCCCTTTTGTTTTACTTATTTACTATTTCTTAATATTTCAGTATTTTAGACGAAGAAAAGTTTCTAAGACGTGTAATAACGCCAATTGAAGTTTGTATTATTTTAATTATTATAATTTATTTAATAGTTAATTTTATGAGATAAATATTTTCATTAATGCAAATATATATTTATATTTGGGTAGGTATTTGTATTTAAATTAAAGTCTTATATATGTCACAAATGTATTATAATCAACTTAACAAGATCTTCTAACTTCAAAATATATTATTTTAAAGTGTTCTGAGTTTTTTTGTTTAAAAAAAAGCCCCGAAAACAAATGTGAAAATATATGAATATATAAAATGTAGTTGTTTTCTTCACATATTTATATCACATCAAAACAATTTAACGTGGAATACACATGCAAAACACATCTGGTTAGATGACAAGAAAAATACAAAGCAAATATTGTCTATAAGGTAATATTAGTGAAATAAGACTAATTACGTGATTGAACCTCATCAAATTGAAATAAATATATACATTATTGCATTTAACAAATAAAATTTTTCATTGACCATCTTCATAGGTTTGTGTGAATAAGATATATATCTTTGATGATCCACATTGAACATTCAAAAAACAATCTGCAATATTATTTTTTGTTAATCTTATTATTCAAATCTTCGCTTAAATAAGCAAATACTATTTACTATAACATATATTTTTGGAATTGATAATCACGTGCAACACACGTATCAAAAAACTAGTATACAATTAAAAGTGGGAAACTCCAAAAGATGAAAAGTTAGATTAGTATTTACTTTTAGGTTAAATTAATGCTTAATTAATTAAATATTAATTATTTTTAAAATTGTAAGTTATTTATTAGAAAGACAATGAAATAATCACTAATAAATTATAAGTTACAATGAATTGTTTAATATACTTATCATTTTACCCCTATACTAAATTAAATTTTAATTAATTAATTAAATATTAAATAATAATATTTTAATTGTTTTTTAAATTTTAAGTTATTTATTAGAAAGACAATGAAAGAATCATTAATTAAATTATAAGTTACATTGAATTGTTTAATATACTTATCATTTTACTCTAATCATCATCATAATCATCGTCGTCGTCATCATCATCATTTATTATTATTATTACACACATATATCAAAAGAATTGTTCTGTACCTTTTCTAAAATACATGCCTGCTCTTTTTTTCTTCCAAAAAATAATTAATTACATCAAAAAAATTTACACATGCATCTTCATGTAAAAGCTCACTTTTATAATTTTCATATATTTGATCTTCTTATTCTCATTTATTAATTTTGACCTTTCAAATTTTACACACAAATAATAAAAGAATACAAATGAGTAATTATTCCTTGAATACAAGAAATTAAAGTAGATACATGTATCTTTTAAAGTTAAATTTCATGCTTTATTTCTTTATATTTATTTTAATAGTATTTGACCTTTCAAATTTCCATGTGACTTTTCATGTTTCTACAATTTTATTCCTATAAATTTAACTTTTTCAAGAAAGAGTTTTATTTACTACTCCTACAATTCTTGTGTGTAGGAGCTCTAAACTGGTAAAATAATGTCACAATTTGTGGTGAAAGTTGTGAATCCCCTTATATAGTCACGAAAATAGACATGAATTCAATTATTGAAGCATCAGAGTTTGGTGTGTTAGTTTTATACTTATTTGTAGTAATTAGAAATATAATAAGACGTTTCTATCTCTCTTTCTATAAATGAATTGTTGCTTTGTTAGCAACTTACTTTAATTTCATATTTTTATTTTGTATGCACAAATATAGACTATTTATTACGTTAGTTTTGTTTCAGTTTTCATCATAGATACAAAAGCAAAAAGAAATGTCAAATTGTCTTGCTCATGTGTTTCTTTCTCTTTTTTTTTTTTTTTGGTTCTTTGTATTTGTAATTTTACATGTACATTAACTTTAATCTTTAAGAATGAATGTGGTAGAATGTTTACTCTCATTTTTTAGGAGAAGAATTGAAAAAAAAGAGGTGAAACATATAGCATTAGATTAATGGTGGATAAGTTATGTATGAAGAGACAATTAAATTCTATATAAAAATAGTAATTAGGTTCATAAATATTCTGATTTTCAAAATATAAAAATAAGGCTTTTTACACCTTAATTTTTAATATTTATAAGTAAATAATTAGTTTAAAGTGCTTGTGAATAAAAATCTAATATAATATTTTGAACATATCAAAAGGCAAAGTAAAAAGTTGAAAGGATTTTTTTTCCTTTCAGTCAAAATTAATCTCACACTATTTTGGTACAAAAAAGTAAATAATCTCCTATCAAGCTTTTAATTGAAGAAACATTAATATTGCACTACAGTTTGCAGATGATTAATCTCATGCAATCTTTTGATCTTCTAACACTATTCTACCAACAAAAAAAAACTTTTAATACTATTGAGAAATTTAATTTAGATAGTTGTTATCTTTTGCCTTTTGCTTTTCAAACTCATTTTTTGACTTAGAAAAAACTTCTTGTCCAAGGGGGCAACGTGTTCTTGCTAAAGTGATACCTAGGACCAGGTACATTCTTCTTTTCTACCTCCTCCCTTTTTTATTTAAAGAAGTTCTCTTGATTTTCTTTTACCCTTTTAAGAGACTCGCAATTTCTTTTCAGGTGACTATTTCTTCCACACTGGGTGCACAACAGATTATCAGAGACTGACACATATTTGCTTGAGGGTTGTTGGGAGGTTCTATCTTTCTACACCCTAGGCCCTTCATGTTGTTGAGTTTCTAATTTGCTAAGTTTGAAAGAATCTTAGATGAGTCAGTCCATTTCAGGGAGTGACTTAACTCTTCTTTGACTTGACTTAGGTCCTTTACTAGTTGTGAATTTCTCTCAAGAGAGGCAGCTAGTTTGGACTCAGACACTTTCAGACTTTCATGTAGCTCAAGTTCAAGACTACTGAGTTTTCTTTTTCCACCCTCAGAGGTACTGGGTTCCTCTTCAAGTTGAAAACTCTCAATCTCCGGAATACTCAACCTAACACTCATTTCAGACATTTGAGACATAATGCAGTTTTTTCATCTTCACACAGACTCAGTTTTTCACTCAACAATATATTTTTATTGGTTATTTCATCTACAGAGTCAATCAGTACAACAACAAGTTTTCTCAATCTCTTAATTGACAAGGTGTCTAAATCGTTTTTGAGATAAAAAAGAGTTACCTCGTCTTTGTCTTCTTCATCATCAGATTTCACCATCAATGAGAATATGGAGTTGAAAACAGTCTCATAATTATTGACCACCATCATCGAGACATCTTTATGATTCATCCTCATCAAAGTCGCTAGAGGCATTTCCCCATACTGCAAAGGCTTTCTTCACAACTTGATCTGCATTGGCCTTTCTTTTAGCATGGTCAGGGACCTGGTCTCTTCGTCGTGGTTTGAAGTCCTGAACTTCATGCTTTTGGCTCTGATAATTCCACATGAAGTGGCCAGGCTTTCCACATTTGTGGCAGAGGTCGTTGGCGCGTTTGCTGTTTTGTTGGTAGTCCACTTCTTCTGAAATCTGCCATGCTTTTTGACTA